AGGAAAACCCGTTTTGAGGGACAGTTTACTTGTGTGGACCAAAGGGGCTACTGTGGGACACGCACTGACATACTACAGCTTCCACAGCGAGATGCTTTTGTTTGTTCTATTTATTTTTGTTTTCCTTTGTGGGGGAGGTTGCAAGGGCAGATAGGAAGGAACAGGGAGATGAGTGGAACTGGGTGCATGATGTGAAATTCACAAAGAATCAAAGCCGGATGCAGCGGCTTAATGCATCCGGAGTGCTGTAATCCCAGCACTCGGGGAGGCAGAGGCAGGCAGATCTCTGTGAGTTTGAGGCCAGCCAAGTCTATAAAGCGAGTCCAGGACAGGCAAGGCTACACAGAGAAACACTGTCTCGAAAAACAAAAGAGAACTGTGGAGAGCTGCTTGTTTGGAAAGCTGCTTTGCTATTGAGTATTTGGTGAAAAACATATTTTTCACCCTGGCCTTTACCTTGAGACAGAGATTAACAGTATGTTTTGGCAAGCTCCTTTAACTTGTGTGACCTTGGACCGTTTCTGCTATACACAGAGATGGTCCGGGAACAAGTTTGACTGCGCCATGAACCCCTTCCTTGTATTGATGTGCCTTGTTTTGCTTTGCCTATAAAAAGGAGCTATGGAATAAACTCGGGGCTGCTGCAGTTTTTACTGACAGTCTTCTCAAGATGATCCCTTGTGTCTTGCTTTATTTCTTTCAATTCTCACTCCCCACTCAGGTACCATTTGACTTGGCCAGCGGCCTCCAGCAAAAAACAAACAAACAAAAAGAATCAACAAAGAGTTGAAAATGAGGAAGAAAACTTACTCATTGCGGTCACACTGAGGAAAGGGGACATAGAGGGGTCCCAGTGACCCTTACAGCTAGCTGTCTTTGTGCATGAAATGAGGGTAAGAAGTCTGCATCATTAAAAAAAAAAAACAAAAAACGTTCTTATTTATTTATAATGGATACAATGTTCTGCCTGCATGTACACCCGCACACCAGAACAGGGCACCAGATCTCATTATAGATGGTTGGGAGCCACCAGGTGGTTGCTGGGAATTAATTCCCAGGATCCTTGGAAGCGCAGCCAGTGCTCCTAACCTCTGAGCCATCCCTCCAGCCCAGTCTGCATCACTTTTAAGCAGTCCTGGTGAAGGTGTGGTGGCTCCGCATGTCAATCACCCGCCGCTGTTTCAGCTCCCGTTTGTCCCGCAAGCTAGGCGGATACATTGCTGGAACCGGATAAAATCTCTTCTTAGCAGGCAGGCAAGTTCTTCCCCTGGCCGGGAGCTGGGCCTTAGACTTTATCTTCGTCCGCCAAGGGACTTGTGAGAAGTCTTAATTCTTTGGAGTCTACTGCTGCAGTAATTTAGTACCGAGAGGGAGCAGCACTTCTGAGTGCGCTTTGCCTGTTCGGACGTGTGTGGGTACACGCGTGCAGCTTTGTGCATGTGTGTGCAGAGGCAGAGGTTGACATCACGTTTCTTGGGTACTGGTGGAGCTGAACTCTGAACTAAAGATCTCCTTTCGTTAGCTGGCTCTGTAGTACACCTGTAATCCTCGCGTGTAGGCGACAAGAGAAAGATCTCTGGGTTCAAGGCCAACCTGATCTACCTGACAAAGTCCAGGCCAGCCAAGGCTACATAGTGAGGCCTCAGTTCAAAAAACAAAAACTCAAGCTGGGGAATGGTGGCGCATGCCCTTAGTCCCAGGATTTAGGAAGCAGAGGCAGGCTGATCTCTGTGAGTTCAAGGCCAGCCTGGTCCATAGAGTGAATGCCAGGACAGCCAGGGATACACAGAGAAACCCTGTCTCAAAAAACAACAACAACAACAAAAAAAACCAACTAACAAACCAACCGGCCAAACACACCAAAAACAAACCTCCTTTCAAGATGTGACTCAGTGAGTAAAAGTGCCACCAAGTCTGACAGAGTTTGGTCCCCAGAACCGATGCAAAAGTTGGAGGGAAAGAATCAGCTCTCTGACCACCACAGCATGTGGCATGGCATACATATGGCCACGCACACACAGCACATGTTCACATAATAGTAATAAGCTTTAAGGTGTGGTGTGTACGCCGTTAATACCGGCAGAGACACTGGAGCACTCTGAGTTCAAGGCCAGCCTGGTCTACATATCAAATTCCTAGCCAGTCAGGGTGCCATACTGAGACTATCTCAAAAAAAAAATTTTTTTTTAGTTGTGTGTACCCACACATGCTCACATATGAGCGGGCATATGCCAGTGGCATCAGGTCGCCCGGAGTTGCGGTTTCAGGCGGTTTTCGTGTTCATGAATGTTTCAGACACGGATGCTGGTTGCCACACTCAAGAGCATTTTCCAGCCCAGTGACTTATTTTTAGGTCTAGGTGTATGTGAGGGGCTTGCGTGCGTGCCTGTGAACCACATATGGGCCTGGTGTCTGCGGAGGCCAGAAGAAGGCATAGGGTCCCCTGGAACTGGAGTTACAGGCAGTTGTGAGCTACCACGTGGGTGCTAGGATCCCAACCCAGGGCTTCTGCAAGAGCAAGGCCTCCTAAGCCCAAGCCATGTCTCCAGCCCTTTGTCCCTGTTTTTTTTTTTTTTTTTTCTTTCCCCAATGATTTGGATCAGATCGTGATCCCTGTCTTGTTACACCCAGGCGTTTCTACGTTCCTTCCTGTAGCCTACACGAGAGGAGCGTCTACCACGCATCTCTCGAGAACTCAGGCAGGGCCTGGGGATCTGGTGAGGCAGCGCCGGGGTGTGTGTGAACGACCGAGAGGAGAGTTCTCATGGACACTGGGGATACGGGGAGGCCCTGGGGATTTGCTGTGACCTTGAGCCTGTTCTTACGGCGGCGAGTGTTAGAGAGAGAGAGAAGAGGGACATCAGCTGCTGGACACATTTCCAGGGCCGAAAAGGCCCCTCTGGGGAACGCAGGCACGCACGCACGCACACAGAGTGATGCCCGGAAGGAACAAAGGTCTGGAAGGGAGGGAGACCCTCCACAGTGCGTCCTGACCTGGCCCCACGGGCTCAGCACAGCTGCTGCTTTTCCTAGACAGGGATGGACCAGCAGTCCTGTACTTCAGTATCGAGGAAAGGCTTCAGCTTAGCCGGTCCCCCGGAGGCAGCCAGGCATGGGGCAGATCATGACACCACTTATTAGCTGTGTATCTTGGGCAAGTAATTTGATGTCTCAGAAGCACAGTCCCTTTCTCTGTGACAGGTCCGAAACGTAAATACCCGGTATAGGCAGAATCACACTCATATCGTGAGGCTAGGGTGAGCATCAATCCAGCTGTTTCAAACTCCTGAGAAACGTTCCCTTTCCTGGCTGAGTGTGGTGCAAATGTCTTTGATCCCAGCACTTGGGACGCAGAGGCAGGTGGAGGCCAGCCTGGTTGGTCTATCATATGAGTTCCAAGCCAGCTAAGGCTATAGTGGGACTCTGTCTTGGACAACAGAAAGACCCTTTAATCCCCAGCCCCTTACAACTAAGGCTGAACCTAGGGTTTCCCACTTGCTAAGCAAGTGTTTTACACTGAGCTATACTCTAAGCCTCAACTCTAACTCTTCTGAATTTAATTTTTTTATTGTTGCTTTTTTTTTTTTTTTTTCCCCCAAGACGGTGTTTCTCTGTGTAGCCTTGGCTGTCCTGGCACTCTGTAGACCAGGCTGACCTCAAATTCTGAGATCTACCTGCCTCTGCCTCCAAGTGCTGAGATTAAAGGCTTGTGACACCACTGCCTGGCTTTTTGTTGTTTTGGTTTTTTGAGACAGGGTTTATCTGTGTAGTCTTGGCTGTCCTGGAACTTGTTCTGTAGACCAGGCTGGCTTCAAACTCACAGAGATCCACCTGTCTCTGCCTCAAGCTCTGGGATTAAAGGCTCTGCTATGTGGCTATTTCATTTTATTTTGAGATAGGCTCTATGCCACCCTGGCTGGCCTGGGACTCACAGTGGTTCACCTGCTTCTGCCTTCTGAGAGCTGGCATTAAGGTGTTCACTAACGCACCTATTTCTTTTTTGAGACAGAGTCTCACTAAGTTGTCCAGGCTTGAATTTAGCCTAAAATTAGCCTAGGCTGGCATTGAATTTGCAATCCTCTTTCCTCAGCCTCCTGGTTCAAAAAGGAACCAAGGTTAGGACCAGAAAGTCCTACAACTTAAGTGTTTGTTTTACTTAGATTCCACACTGCTCTTAAGAGTAGATGAAACAGTTCAGCTTGGGGGTGGAGCCAGGAGCCTTGTCCATCTTTGCCTCTCTAGTTCTCTGCAGCAACATTCAAGCATGTGCCCTTCACACGAGTGCACACACAGGCTCCCATCAGTTAAGGTCTCTTCTCCATCAGGTCTAACCTCTCTTTGCTGCATCTGGAGCTCAGCGGATGGGGGTAGGGGACGGGTTGTTCAACCGATGCCCCATTCTCTCTCCTCCCCGCTCTCATAACTTCAAAGACACTGCTTCCCTGACCCCAAAGTGACAACTCTGGCATTGGCTTTTGACTGCTTCAAAGCAGCAGATGCTGAGCCTTGGGCTGGCTGCTCGCTCTCCACTTTCTAGCCATCTATTGCTTAGGGTAAGCATAGGCACGCTGAAGACTCAGGGGCTACCAGGAGGCACTGGCTCAGGCAGTCTTTGTCCTGCCGCTGGACTCTGAGGGACTGGGACTGGGACTGGGACTCCAGCTATAATCAGAGCAGACATTTTTGATGGGTTTACAGGGAGATCAGGATGGAGGAAGGTTGATGAGCAGTTTGAGGACCAGAATTTGTTCTTTAGTCTTAGGTGCAAAAATGTCTTAGTGTCATTTACATCTGCTCTACTGGTTAACCAGTGTTGCATCTGTCTGGAACAGCTCTGGCTCCCTAGAGCCAGATCTTGTTCCGTAGCTCCCTTAGGAGCAACTGTCAACAGATCCATGACCAAGGGGCCCCCAAGATTCAAAGACTGTTCCAGTCTACTTTGGGTTTTTCCGGCTGTTTTTCTTGGCCAGAGGATCACACCCATAGGGATGCAGAGAGGGAGCAGGAAGCAAAAGAACAGTAAAGTCAGATGAACTGGAGAAGGGGCAGATGTTGCGGACATGAAGAAAGTAGCCATGAGCAGCGCACACCCCTGACAGAGAACACCTGGAGGGGTGTCTTCTGGAGTGCAGGTTGTGCTGGGCATGGTAAGGTGCTGGCAGGTAATCCTCTGCGGCCTTGAAGACTAAGAGTCAGAGTCCTCATTGTGGGCTACCTCCTTCTAGGGCTGGGCTGAAGCCTAGGACACAGCTGTTAACATCTGGATCCAGGATCATGTCTGCTAACAAGGGCTTGTGGGCACCACCCGAGGGTGAGGACAGCCTGTCTGAGAAGTTTCTGAGGAAGACCAGGGAGTCTCCACTGGTGCCTGTAGGTGAGTGGGGGAACAGGGTTGGGGTGATGCCTCCTCTCTGGGGACCTCATGAGATGATGGTCAGAGAATTCAAGTGGTCCAACCACTGTACACTGTAATGCAATGAAGGAGTCTGGATGGGTGGGGGTGGTGGCCAACTGAATGCAAAGTACTTTGCGAAACAGTGCCAACAGCAGCCTCAGGAGGGGAGTCTTTATTGCAATCGGACTGCCCTGGGGTTTCCCTTCCAGGCTCTGAAAACCTGTGCAAAGCAGCAGGAGCCAGGAGTGGGTGGAGCCGCTCAGGTGGGGGTGCAGTTGTGACAACAAACTGTCAGCATATTAAGGGAGGGGCATCGTGAGGGTCACAGGCACTTAGAAATGCCATGAGAGGAAACTCAATATTCCAATACTAGCTGCATGAATCTGCTTAGTGCCCGGTGCCCAGCCTGCATTGCCCAGAGGAAAGCCAAGGGACCTTGGACATGGCCCAGTGATCCCATTCTCTGCCCACAGGCATAGGAGGCTGCCTGGTGATAGCAGCATATCGGATTTACCGGCTGAAGGCTCGAGGTGCCACCAAGTTGTCCATACATCTGATCCATACCCGAGTGGCAGCACAGGCATGTGCCGTGGGTGCCATCATGCTCGGTAAGCAGCACGGTGGGGGTCAGGGGAGAAGGGGAACAACACAGGTGCCCTCGGTTAATCGGACCATGGCTCGAGCATCTGCTTCACACACTAGTATCCACACCAATTTCTTGATGAACGTCTATGCTGAGGCCTTCTCAGGGTTCTCTACTGGTCACCGTGGCAGGGCAACGAGACAGTATGAAGACAGCCCAATTCATGAATGTTCCAGAGGTGAGGGCCAGGAAGAGGCAGCAACTAGTTGTGGGCTGGGGCTGTGGGCTAGTCCCTTTCACTGGGCCTTAGTGTCCCTGTGCACAGCAACCACCTCTGACTAGTCCAGCCACAGTCCACTTTGTGCAGAATAGACGTCAAAAGGCTAATGGAGGAGTTGTTCCCTTAGGCTGTGTGTCTGGGTGTCTGGAGCAGCTGTTGGGACATGGGGCAGAAAGAAGAGCCGGAAAGCTGGGTCTCAAGGGAAAAGCTAGAGTGCAGCCCCTGAGGACCCCTTGAAGGACGGGGAAAGGGTTTAGGGATCAGATGCCAAGGGCACTTCTCTTCCCTCTTTACGCAGGTGCCATGTATACAATGTACAGAGATTACATCAAGAGGGTGTCAGAGGATCCTGAGAAGTAGGAGTCCTGAGGCTGCAGGATGGCCCAATCCCCAGCTGTCTCCATATACACTAATAAAGCGTTGTTGAGCAAAGTGAAGTGCCTTACTCATGAGCAGAGCCAGGGAAATGTGGTGGCTGGAGGGAGGGCCCAGCACAACGGGCGGGAACCAAAGGTCTCTGGTCCCAACCAAGGTGCAGCAGTCTCCTAGGACAGACCTCAGTTCCCAGGGTCCCAGCAACTCCTATACCACCTCATGTCCAGGCAGAAGCAGCCTGGAATGGAAATGAAAAGGCGGGGGCAGAGAAGGGGCCTTGAGGCTCATGGGAACACTGAATCAGACGCACGTATTCCTTCCACCACAGGCTGCTCCCCTAGGGACTTAGTCAGGAAGGCAGCTGCAGCTGGGAGCAGAGGCAGTAATGCCCCATGGGAAATCACATACCCAGAATATAAGTGCTCAGATTAGACAGGCAAGAGGGTGGGGTGGGGGTGAACGGAATCAGCAAACCAAGGCAGAGGTCAGAATGTTCTGTTCATTTACAAACCATGGCTAAGGTTGAACTTGTGAGAAATAAAACTCCATGTAAATCCTGAAGACAGACCCCTTGGGGTTAAACACTGTCATCTTGTTCTCATTCTTCTTCTCTGGGCCCAAGCTCCTCTCTGTTCCTTGGGCAGAAGCCACAGAAGGAACCAGGAGGCCAGATACCCCTTGCTCACTGGGACACTGGGAGGCAGGTTTCTGGGTTGTTCAGATGGCCCCGTAGCAGTTCCCAGATGCTCACAGCATCAAGGCCCAGTTTGGCAGGTCTCAGCTGGAATCCAGAGCAGCAGGCACTGCAGGGAGCAGGAGCTGCTAGACCCCCGCACTCACATGGGATAATTGAGCACAACATCCTGTTTGGCCAGCTCCAGCAACATGGGATCATCGAAGAACTTGCTGATGCTCACATCTTCACTCAGGCCCTGTGGAGAACAGACACGAGGGTGAGCTCCACAGGGTTACGGTAACAGAGCCTGGGGTCACCCAGGACTTGTGCTTGAGGACTTGGGCCTTTAAAGTACCATTAGAGCTCCTCTGTTCCCTCTGGACCCTAGGTCTGCTTATCCAAGGAGTGTGGAGACTGAGCTTTCCAAACAGCAGTAAACTACCCTCCAAGAGGAAGAAAAGACACACAACTCCTGTGGAGACCCTGGGGTTGAGGGAGGCAGTGGCTTAGAGATCCTGTACCTTCCTACGACGGGTTTTGATCATGAACTCCCGGGCCAGGTGAGGGGCTGGCTGTGGCTCCAATGGGCGGATGACAATGCTTTTGTCCAGAGGGTCGCCAGGGACAATCTGGAAAGCAGAGAGTTTTCAGGGAGTTGGGGCAGCTTCCCAGAGGATTCAGGCCCAGAAACAGGAATTGTGGCGCATCCTTGAGAACATCCTGGACAGAGAGGAACTGGCTAAAAGAAGGCCAGTCTACCGAACCAGGAGGCCAAGCTGGCCAGGTTTCCTTACCTGCCAGTGGTGGAAGACAGACAGGGAAAAGGCCTGTCCCTGGGTATGAGTGCGGAGGTCAGTCTCAAAGCCGAACGAGTCAATGGCCGGGATGAAAGCTTTGATGGTGTAGAGAGGGGAGCCTGGTATGGGTGCATCCTGAGTCACATGACCCCTGAAAGACAAAGGCCAAAGTCCTAGTTGTATACAGGTCCGAAGGCAAGGGGGGATCTGTCTTCTGGCCCTTTTCTGTGTATCCCAGCACAGCCACCATAAAAAAAAAAAAAAAAAAAAAAAAAGACTTAACGGAACATGCTCCACAGAGGACCCGGGACTGGGGCTCTTAGCAGAGGCCACAGGAGCAGCCACCTCTGGGAGGAGGCAAGAGTGCGGACACTGAAGAAACAGGACCCTAAGGACAGCCCCATCACTGCTTCACTTCTCCCAGGAGCTAAGGCAGGGCCCAAGAAGAAACTGTGGCCATGGCCTTTCGGAAAGCTAGAAAGCCTCAGTTCTCCCCTACTTCTCGTGGGAGCAGGCTCAGTGGGCTTCTGTTGGAAAGGTGGGGAGAACAAAGGCTGGGAGGCTCCCCTTTCCTTTCCTCAGTAGCCAAGGGGCTTCTTGCTCAGTACTCTCCCCAACAACAGGCTGCTCACCTGCGCCTGGCCAGGACTGTGTAAACAGCAGACACACAGTCTGCAGGGGCCTGGACCTCTACAAAGTAGTAAGGCTCCATCAGACGGGGAGTGGCCTGCAACAGAGGAGAAAGGACTCGGCATAGGTGAGGCTGAAGAGTTAGGACATAAGGGTCTCTGGACCACTGGAGGCCTTCTATGGCCTCTGCCTGGGAAGCAGCACAGTTCCCTACAGCCCCACTTACCATGAGGAAGGCAGAGTAGACTACCCTCCTGGCTGTGGGGATGATCTGACCTCCACCCCGATGGAGGGGTTCCTGGGCAACCACGGCATCCAGGATCTTAAACTTGACGTTGCGAATCACTGAAATGGGAGAGCTGAGGCTAGTCATAGGGGCATGGCAGAGTAGCAGGGTAATTTGCTACACTGAGGCCACATTACAGCCACCAAAGACATGATACAAATCTCATATCCATCAGCAAGGCTAGTAGCAAACAGGTGAACAGTTAATTATTACTTAACATTTGCTTCAGGCCATGCTCCGACATGTGAACTTTCTTAGAAGCTTATGTGCTGGTGCTAAATAGTTTTTTGTTTGTTTGTTTGTTTGGACATAGATTATGTGCCTAGGTGTAAGGGTCCTGGGGAAAAGAGCTGAGAGGTTGTTGGTGGACTCACATTCATCGCAGAGGGGTCCCTCCCTGGTTCCCCACTGGAAACCTTGAACAATGCTGTCCTTCACTGAGCCGAGAAGTGCCTTGTCCACCTGCACAGAAACATTAGGTCTCCATCAGTCCACTGGCATCAGCCAGCAGCTTTAGGAGGAGGAGAGTATGGCTGTGAGAAGCCACCTTTCAACTGCAAAGGGGACGCTGCAGTTTCCTCGTCTAGGGATAACACTTTGCCACAGGCCTCCCATCAGTTTACCTCTGAGGGCAGCGTGTCGTCCACTAGGATGTTGGGGCCTGTAGCATCAGGACCAAAGGCCCAGATGGAACGAGCAGCCAGCAGATCCCAGTCATACTTTGTTTGGAAGAACTCTCCCAGCTTCTTCCTGGAGGAAAAGAAGAGAAAGCGGCTTGCAGAGCTATAGTTCCTTCCTTTCTGTAAGACAGTGACCCACTCTACCCATATCACATCCAGGACAACAGCAGAGAAGGATGGATGGTGTCAAGAGACCAGGCAAAGAAGCAAAATATGAGCCCTGGAAGCAGAGCCCTGCTCCAACCTGTTCCAGGTGATCTGGACCACCTCATTCTCTATGTCCTCAGCGAGGCCCTTCTCCAGAGGCTCGGCAATCATGGTGATCTTGTTCCTGGTCAGAAAGGACAGCAGTGAGAAGGGGTCACAGGATGAGCAGGGGCAACAACACAGACCACTGAGACAGCTAGAGAAACGGAAAACTTGCTGCGGGGGGCAGCAAAGGGTACCCTTCTGTTTTTCCTTCTTACGTGCATGAGTTATTTTGTGTGCATTTATGCAAATGTACCATACGTGTGCAGTGCCCAAAGAAACCAGACAAGAGTTTTGGACACCCTGGACTGGAACTGCAAGCCACCATGTGGCTGGAAATAAAATTTTGGTCCCTCTGCAAGAACAACGAATACTTTTAACCACTGAGCCATCTCTCTAGCCTCCATCTGCTTTTTCTTGAAAAGTACGGCTGGGCCGGAGAGTGTAGCTTGGCAGCAAAGCAAGTGTAAACATGTATGAGGAGCTGGGTTTCCATTTTCAGAACCCATTAAAAAAAAAAAAAAAAAAAAAAAAGGAACTTAACATTGAAGCTGGTATAGTGGCTTACGCTTTTAATCCCAGTACTTAGCAGTCAGGAAGATTTGACACTGTTCTATGTAATGAGTTTTAGGCTATCTTGGGCTACAGAGACAGATCTTGTCTCAAAAACCAATTAAGATTTAGGGCAAAATTTCTAATACTGACAAGGCAGCTAGACAATTTTTAGGAGTACCCAAGGCAAAGGGTTCCACAATGAAATGTCGGTGCAGAAAGGGACACAGTCTGGAGCAAACATGAGTACCTAAGCAGCCTGAGTCCATCTCAAGAAAACTCTGTAAGAGTTGTACTTGGGGTAGGCCTGAGGTGAGTATGGGAGAGAAGGTTGTCAATTCCAAGTACCAGGGATAGTGCTCATAGCTTCCATTCTTTCTTTCTTTTTCCCCCCTGAAAACAGGGTCATGTGTGTAGCCCCAGATGGCTTGGAACTTGCTATATAGATGGAGCTGGCCTTGAACTCGCAGCAATCCTCCTGACTTTGCCTCCCTGGTGCTGGGATTACAAGCTTGAGCCACCATGCTGGACTTGTTTCTGTTTTTTGAGACAGGAGCTCACTTCGTGGCTTTCTATCTACCTGCACCTGCCTCTTGAGTGATGGAATTAAAGGCACCACCACACCTGTCTTTTTTTTTTAAATAAAGAATCTCTCATGGCCCAGGCTACTTCTCAAACTTGTTGTGGGGCTGAGGCTGGCCTAGAACCCCTGATCCTCCTGCTTCTAGCTCCCCAAGTGATAAGCTTCCAGGTGTGTGCCACCACACCTAGTTTCTTTATTCGAGTGAGCATCGTGTGAGCATTTTCATGTGCATGTGTGTGCAGGATAGTGATGGATGTCTTCCTTTCCACACAATCTCCCGCCCCCTTTTTAAAAAATAGACACAAAGAGATCCAGGCCAGCCTGAGCTACAGTATGAAACTCTGTTAGGGGAAAAAAAAAAGGTACAAAATAATGTTTTTGTTTTTTTTTTTTGTGGCATTTCCTCAAATATACATTATCGTATCTGTTCATATCTGTTCTGTTGCTCTCCCTTGCCCCCACCTCCTGCTTACTTCTTATTGGGTGTTTCAGCAAAGCATTTGAGAGAGGATGTTTCTACCACTGTCTCACAAAACGTCACAACTGGGTCAGCCACCTATGCAATGGAAAGAAAAACACTGAAGTAAAAATCAGTTTTGTTGACAGGCAAAGTCTACCT